TTCAAGATATTAATAGTCTTTCTTTTGTTGCATTTGCATTTATAAAGACTTCTCGTAGATATGAATTGTTTCATAATATGTCATTTTTATGGTATGTTTAAATTAGGTACCAGTTGTTTACCAATATTCAAATCATATAAAATCGATTAAAAAGATACAAATCAAGGTAGCAAAAAATAGATTGAGGGAACCACACGATCTCCAGGAGCAAGACCAGGTGCGTCGATGGGGTAAATAATGGCAACAGTAGTATACCGCTGTTCAGTAGTCATAATTCGATTAAGCAAAAGCAAATCCGGGTAACAAACTAAAACCGAGGGAAACACATCAAGTGTCTCCTGTTATGCATGCATCACCGCCATGCAAACCTACACCAAGTCAAAATGGCACAATCGGAAATAGGACACAATCGGTTAAATGACAGATCGGACGACTATTCCTTCTGCTATTTAACAATTTCAGACCGCAAAAACATGTCGATAGTAAGTTGAACACACACATCGTGACGGTCAACCAATTCGAGAAGGTTACTGTCAAAGATATGTAGCGGTTATTTTGGTCGTTGAAATAGCAAATAAATACTTTTGTACCATACATTGGTCGAGTAGCAAATACATATGCATGTATATACTTTGACTAGTCAATTTTAAGTCCAACAAATTAAAACCACATACACACATACAAACAGTTAGTTATATTATATGACGACGTGCATATTAGAGAGCCACATAGCAGTCAACTGTAGTAAGTGCTGATTTGTAAAGCTAGGCAATGTGGTACGATTGTCAACGTAACAACTATCCACCAGAGTTCTGATGACATCGTTATTTAGCAATTATAGGTCACCAGACGCCATAGCCAGCTATTAAAGACACAGAAATGAAAATGTGAAACAATTCAAACAAGAAAACCAAACGGCCTAATTCATAACAATACAATAACGAAAAACAAATATGACAGACATGAAACAAACCCCAACCAATGGATTAAAGGCTCCTTACTTGGGACAGGCACATTAATAATGTGGCGGGTATGTGTTTCTTAGCGCTCAAACGTGCCCTAACCCTGTGACAGTGGTATGACAGCACAATATAAAGACTAAACGGTAAAACTCAGTATCTAATCGCTTTACTCGATAGATTGGTACGAAGCACAAAAATCAACTAACATAAAAACAATAGACACAAAGCACCAAAATAGATGTACCCGTCATTACTGAGAGATAATTCATAGCCAATTACAACTAATAAATAAATCAGTACATCAGCACACATCCAACGGATCTAGTGTACATGCGTAATAAACAGACTGAGAAACGCATAATTGTGTGTGTGAATTTGTGTCCGGTTCCTATCTTATCATATTACTTTTATCATTAAAGAATTAAGCTACTTAAACTGCACTACAATCAAACCCGGAAAACACATTTGAATAATATTAGTTTTGTTATTAGACTAAAATATATAAGAACAATTATATGAAATATCATATTACAGAATGCTGGCAGGTACTTAAAGGAAGAATAATAATAACGGTCACTATACTTCTAAATATCTATCGCATAGTAACTTCGTAAAGTCTAGTCGAACTACTTCAATATACGATCTCGTGCAATGGTAATAAAGCTTTTGTTAAGAAAAACGTAAAAGTATACAAGGCTCCGAAAGTACAAAATATATCGCACATCATTACCCCTAAAGTGTGGTAGCATTTCCTGTCTCGGAAACAAATAAGACATATTGTTTATAAAGACTAAACCAATCAGATTTGAATTCAAGTTATGTTACTCTGGTATAATCACATTTCCATATTTATTTATATATATAAATGTGGACCGGTAATTAATGATAATCAAGGCTGTCGTTTCCGTCGCCGCTATGGATCATCTGTACATACGGATTTGAGCACTTTAGGTCTTTTTTAAAACCTTCAAGAAACTGACAGGATGAAGAACAGTTGTGAAAGCGCGGTTCATTTCCTGATATTGTGTTTGATTTTTAGAATGACATTGTTGTGTTATGTGTATCAAATTCATATATTTTCCCCAGTAATTGAGATCACATTTTTTTTTACTCCTGTCCTGTTTAAATCCTCATGAGTTTTATAACCCTATGTGGTCATGTCAGATGGTATCCTAGAATATGCCTGAAAAGTTGAACATTGAACGTTTAGCCTACAAAAATCCATCAACCAGGATGTTTATAAAGCAACGAAAATAAAGCACAAGTATGAAATTTGAATTAAGATTAATAAGTTTGTCTTAACTGACTGAGCGCTTTCAGAGATAGCTTTAATGATGTTCTACGTTGTAAATATCTATCGCATAGTAACTTCGTAAATAAGACATATTGTTTATAAAGACTAAACCATCAGATTTGAATTCAAGTTACGTAACTCTGGCATAAACACATTTCCATATTTACTTATATTTATAAATGTGTACCGGTAATTAATGATAATCAAGGTATAGCTATGGGTACTCGTGATCCTACATCCTGAAGATACTGTTTACTAATAATTTGGCATTTCACAAACGTTTCTCAGTCTGTTTATGACGCATGTACAATATATAATATACAATTATATATATATATATATATATATATATATATAGAGTCTATAAGAATCTACCAACCAGTAAACTTAATAGGTATAGGATCATCAGCCAACACTTCAGGTTACCAGATCACAATCTGAAAGATTTTGATCACATGAAGATCCTTGTGATCGAACAGGATTGTACATGGCAAAATAGGCAAAGAGAGAATCGGGAGAAGTTTTGGATAAAAACACTGGGTGTCCTCCATCCAGATGGAATCAATAGAAAGAAATAATGAAATTTACAGTCTAATGTTTATATTATGATATTCAGGATTTTGGATTAAAATCAATCGACTAAAACTTACCTGTATTATTATTGATCTATGTTTACACCTTATACATTATATATCAGTATTGTTAAAACTTTTAACACTGAGGAAGGCCATTTGTTGAGCCGAAATATTTGCAATTATTGTATAATTTATATCATCTGTTCAGTTTTTCCATCTTTGTGCGATGATATTCAACACTTTTTAGTGTTTTGTTTTCCATCTATTTATCGGTATTGTTACACAATCTTTTAGACTCATATATATATATATATATATATATATATATATAAAAGTCTAAATTGAAAACAACGTTCAAACCTATATATATATATATAAGTGCCTATAAATAGCAGCACATGACATACAAATCTATGGGAATGTGGATTAATCAGTACAGAGATTAATTCAATTACACAAATAAAATTATAGATTGCCTAACAATGTAATTTTAACACACTATTGTCCAAATCATAGAAGTCAACACCGAGTGGGACACCACGGCGAGAAGGAGAAGAGAAAAAATTTTTGGATCCACCAACTCCACACTTTAGAACCTGATGGTCTTAACGAAAAAGATGAGAAAAGATACAGGAAAGATAAAGAATAATTTAGTACACAGCATCGTCCTTTTTATCCTGTAATATTGGCCAATGGACGTTGCTAACTTCAACCACCAATTTTGTAAAAATCTTGAACTTCATCCAAATTATGTATTATTTTCAAGGCAGCTAAATTCAAGTGCAACATATACATTGAGCTGCAAAAGTTTCTTATCATCTACATCCGATTTCACCTGGATAGATGCACGCTTGATAAAGCTAGTTAGTCTAGCGAAATATTGCGTTTATTTTCATCATTTTGTAAATATTTTAAACATTCTTATATTTACATACTAAATAGTGTGTTAAAATTACATTGTTAGGCAATCTCTATATATATTTATATATATATATATACAAACAACATTTTCCAAAAGACCAAATGAGTGAAAAAGTATATTTTAACAATACGCATTTGACTAGCAGGACGAACAACTGATGTTCTTAAACCCTGCTGACTGCCATTGGCGATTGCCAAATAAACGGATCACAAGATGTAACAAAACAGATCTCTACCAAGAAATTTGTTTTGCATGCACTCGTATAAAAATTGCGGTTTTTATCCAACGCAATCATAGGTTTGAACGTTGTTTTCAATTTAGACTTGTTTATATATATATATATATGCGATCTGATCAACCATTAAGTTTGCTGTGATGTTTTCTTTATACATCATATTTATATATAAATGTTTTGCATTTTTTGTTTGCATAAGTGTTTTGCGTATTTTGTTTGCATAAGTGATGTGGCCTTTTCCAAAATCAATTATTAGCAACTCTTCGGAAATGCCTGTGTTAATGGGATAGAATAATTAATTTGAAGTCGATGACTAAACTTAATAAAAAAAATTAAAATATGCAGCCCTCGGTGACTAAAGCTTAAGCAGGTTGAGAGGAAGTTAGATGGTCACGCTATGTCGAGAATAGATATCTGTTATGATTAATTTAGAATAAGCCAAATAATATTTTTCTTCTGTTCAGATGTTACATTTTTTGATCGGTTACGTAATAATTTTGATATGATACTGCTGGTATACATGTAAATATGAAGAATAATGCATAGTTTAATAATGTTTCTGAGGGGAAACATTTCTGAAAAGAAAATTGTGGAAAAAAAAACGCGCTACAAAAATTGAAGCTGCATGATCTATGTACTGTGCCCTTAGTGTACATATACACTTATTTTACATAAATATATATATATGATAGGATGCAATCAAATTATTTTCATATCATATAGAGATGACTCGGGTATATCTGTTCATATTTACCAATATTTTACAACTGGAATATCTTAATTTGTACATTCGTATATGATTTTTTTTATTTATTATATTATAAATTACTACAGATTTAGTACAAAAAAATGATTTCATATGCATGCATATGACATGTATATACATTTATTATTTATTACAATAGTAACAACATTAACGATACAAAATTCACTGCAACAGTTGCGCCTTTCGACAATAAATGTATCTTCGTTGATGCTAGAGAAATTGTGTAACAACAAATTTCAATTTCAGAACAAATAAAGTATCCATGTTTGGTTTCAATACTCTCGTTTGAATGAATATAGAGAAGAGTGTGAGTAATACATTGTTATTATATCAAATATTAAAAAAATAATGTTATCTTATAAACAATATATATTGAACTATTGAAATGTTGAACTATTGAAATATTCTATCTTAATCTCTTTTTTTTCCAGAAATATGCAAGAATACATGTATAGCAATATTTGAAAAGCAGCGCTTACTGAAAGATGCGTTATGTGTGAATTATAATTTAAATACAATACAACTGTAAATTTCGAATAAAATATCATTTGTACTCTTTAATTTTGTTAAAAATCATTTGAAAATTTTATACAAATTTGGTCATATTCCCGTTTACTTAAAATGTCGCATCCATATTCTTCTATACAATTTTTCAACTCGTTATTACAAACGAACGGGTTTAATCCCAATGAATATGTCCTACAAACTATTTCAATAATAACAATTATAAATTTCTGTTCGAAAAATATTAAACTTGAGAAGGAAAAGATATAGAATTATACAAGAAAAGTAAAAATGTAAACAACAAGTTATAAATTTCATGCATCCGAAGCGCTTTTCTTGTTTAACCTTAATCAGGAACGCTCAAAGTTGAATTTTTAAAAGCCAAAGATGTGTAAGAATCGAAACACTTGAATAGCTATATTATCAAAACGGACCTTAGAAAATAGCCATATCCGTCTAAAGTTAACTTTGCCTGAGGGAGTTGAAACCGATGAACAGAATATTCCCTTAAATGTCGCCACAGACCTTACAGGTGGTATGACGGATAGAAATGCAATGATTAAACGCCATAAATTATTTTTTCTTCTGTTTGATCTGTTATCAAACAATTGTTTGTCCTACTCATTAATCTGATTAAAAGTATTAATACAGAAGAACTTTAATTATATGAATTGTATCCACGCACAACGATCGTGATTTATTCTTACTCATTTAACATTCCTATCTATTAAAGTATCCATAGTTATAAGTGTAATGCTTTATGAATTGGCATTTAGGGAGATATATGTATTACCAGAGTTCATCAATTTTATATTTCAATGCATTCTAATAATATTAAACATGGAATGAAAGTATTGAAATTTCTGAATAAGCTGTAATGTCGGTGTCGGGCTTTCGTCAATGCCTAAAAAAGTGCACATTATTTTCTTGAAACGTGACGGCAAGCAACAAAGGCAAATACTGGCTCAAAGATAAAGTCGTCGATATTACAGTATAAGAAAACATGATTTCTGTTTCAACAGATAAATACTTTGAGCTTGAGTTCAACAACTGTAAACTTTCGTTGATACCATAATATCTATTATTGTTTTACGATTAAAACACAGAAAAACTACTTTTCCTCTAAAAAAATACTTGTATCTATGGCTTTGTTTACGAAAATTAAAATGTTTTGGTTTTTTTTTTCTGAATTTCTGAATTTCTTTATGCATTTCATCATTCTTATAATCGAGGTTTTGGCTCTCAAAAAAATAGTTTAAACCCGCCACGTTTTTAAGTATTATGTCCATCTCCAGAACCTCCGGTTGTCCTTGTTTTTTCTTATCATGAATTTCATTTTTTTTAAATAGGTTGGTAGCAGATGTTGTGTAGTCTTTGTTCAATTCTTATTTTAACAAGTTGTCTAAACTCCGTACAGTTTAGGGCTGGGCATATGTTATAGACGAATAGTGAATAAGAATGGGACCTATTGATAAAAAAATAGTTAATTGTGATTAAGGGTTGTAGTCGTATCGACGTAACTACTTTTATTCGAGCGCCATGGCTGAGACTTTTGTTGAAGAAACCCACTGTGTACCAATTATATGCCTGGTATCTTTAATATATTAGAAATATTGTTCTTATGTATCATAATGCCCTTTTTGGAGTTTTTTTACACTAAGACATGTCTTAAGATGGTTATACGTCTTTTTCAGATTTAAAAAAAACCCAGCATGAACATTTACCTGTGATCAACTCAGAACTTGAATCCTTGAAAGATAAATCGATTTTATAATATTCAACCAAGGCAATAGTTCCAACTCCTCATTATTATATAAGTAAGAGAACATGCCTTTTCTTTAAAGATGCATAAGAGGATTTTAGAAAATGTAGTTTTCGTGCGAAGAATTTCCATCAGCAACGACACCTGTCTAAGTCATACATCAGTATACTGTTTTGACCAATATTTAAATACACTCTCCCGAAACCTAGAGTTAACTGAATGACCATGGAAGCTTTGTATTACTATTTTATAAAAATGGTTGTTTGTATGTATAAATATTTAGAACAAACTATACAGGTATATGTTGTCATATTTTTTTTCGCTACTTCTCTCTTCCTCAAGAGATAAATATTTCTAGATATTAATTGTGTCGTTTACTACAATCAACTGTTTCAGCAGGTATAACATGTTTGACTTAATCATGTGCTGAGGTAAAAGTGATGGATTTGCAAATCTTGAGCATACTATAATCTCAGAAGTCAGTTCTGCAGTACTGACATGATTAAAACTATTCCGACTTTTAATTTACTTCATAACTTATTTAAAAAAAGGGTTTCACGTCAAAATTGCAAATATAAATAAGAATAGGTGGTATGAGTGCCAATGAGACAACTCTCCATCCAAGTCACAATGTGTAAAAAGTAAACAGTCATAGGTCAAAGTACGGCCTTCAACACGGAGCCTTGGCTCACACCAAACAGCAAGCTATAAAGGGCCGCAAAAAGACTAGTGTAAAACAATTCAAACAGGAAAACCAACGGTCTAATCTATATAAAAAACGAGAAACACTTAAGAACCACACCAACAAACGACAACCACTGAACAACAGGCTCCTGACTTAGGACAGGTGCATAAAAATGAAGCGGGTTTAAACGTTTTAAGAGGCGCCAACCTTCACTCTAACCTGAAACAGTGGAATAACAGTTTATGATCGTCGTGTAGAAAGAAGTCATTATCATTGTTTTTATATTTTTCTAAACGAACAAAGTATCTGATTAAACAATACTTTGAATGCATTGTACGCATTTTCATTAACGTAATCAACGTCTTCTAAAGAAAACCGAAGTTCAGGTTTGCTTATTTTATTCTTATGACCTCAGAAATCTACATTTTACTTCAAAAAAAATATTCTTTGGTGACCGAGCGATGATGTGTTGCTGTGTAATTGAAGCATTGTCTGCCACTTTTTTTCTATTTTTTTTTTTTATTAATGTTAATAAATATTGTAACTGGTAAGACACTGCTTTGGAGATTATGCTTAAAGAAGGATTTCGACCTAATTTGCTTTTCCAAAGAACTAAACTGTACTGATAGCGACATCCCGAAGAATTTACTTTCAGAATTCTTACCTGGCATTACAGAGTCAAATTTGTACTTTAATAATTTTTTCTCAATTTTATTTTGATTACATCTCCATGAAAGAAGGATATTAATTTTAACAATTTTATGTGAAAGATCCGGAGAACTATTATGTAATTCTAACATCAAATAACGATTGATGTTTGTATTGAAAGATTTGATTTTAAAATTGTTTCTTTATAATTGAAAATTTAATAATTAAGACGGTTAAACAGTTAATTCGTTAGTTTCCGTATAATACAATGTTTTCTTTTGTATCGCACGTTTCTGTCTATAATAAACTGTTATTGTTGATTTATTTATCTGTATTGTTTGGTACCTGTTATTCAGTGATGACAATTTAGATTCACGTTTCAGGTGTCAGTAACAGTAATTCAATTATTGCGTGATGTTTTTGAAATTATCAATTATTCACGCGTGTATAAAAAGATTTTGTCCTCTGAAGATAAATGTCAAGATTTATATCTTTAATGCTGCGATTCGGGAATAATTCTATGAACCTCGGAAATTAGCTTTCAGGCAACACACTCGATGTATATATCATTTTTATTGCATAAACGGAAATTGATATAAATTATAAAAATGAATAATATGTTAAATGTAAAGACTTAGGTCTTGATTAGTTTAGAAGTACATTGATATTTAATTAAATAAAAGACAATGCAGATAAAACAGGAATAACTTGACATATACTTGTAACATTAATTCATTATCAGAGGTAAAGTAACATTGAAATCTGGGTTTGTCAGGTTTCGTTTTATCATTTCAAAAACATTATAATAAACCAATCTAAAGAGAAAACAACGATTGACTGAACGAAACATGTGTTTCCTTTCAGTCAGTCTGCAGTTGTATTTCATGCATTCAACATTCTAGCCTCATATGATTCTCGTTGGTTTAGACCAATCCATGGTGAAACATAAAGATCTTAAATGTTATCAAACTGTTAACTCATTATTGTTGTCATGAAGCTGAAGTTTGACTTGTATTGCTTACTAAAAGGGTATGATAACCTCAGACCTGTTGTCATTTGGTATATTTTGTTTAGGAATTCTGAATACTCCGTTACATTTGGTGTTACAAAATTAAGAATGATGATATGCTAAATTGGTACATATGCAATGTTTACTTATACATCTTTTTGAAAAAAAAACCCTGACCAATTTACTTATACACACTTAAAAAACTCTTTACAAAATCGGGAAAAACATGAGCCATATGATCTCTTAACATTCCACACTGCCATGTGCCCTAAAATATGTAATTATCGTTAGCTGGCACTGTATGAACTCACTGTAACTACATAACAACGATTCTTCTAGCAATTGAAAGTACAATACAAAACAAACTGAAGATCAAATTGGGTTTCCGTCATGTCATACTGCTGTAGAACAACAAAAATTATGGTCAGTTAAAGGTAAAATTTTGGGGCATTAAGGCATCTGACATTCAAAACTTTTGAAAGGGTTGTGGATTAATAAATCAAGGAGATTAGGTACGGTTGTCAATTAGACAACTATCAACCAGAGTTTAAATGACGTAGCTATGAGAAATTTATTCTTTTACTAAAACTTGAGAAGAAATACAATTCGGAATTTGTGACAGATGCTGTTGAAACAACGTGAAATTTCCAATTTACAAAATGAGGAATGTCGGATGACATTGAACAAACTTGGAAACAAGCACGCGACAACCATCAAGATATCTATTATAAACTTGGTGTGAAAAACGATCTGTCGCACTTATCACTTAGTGCCTAAAAGATGTCCATAGTTAGTAAAAATCATCACATCGTTGAAAAATATGATTATTTTGAGTTTTCATTGTGAAAATTGCAAATAAGAAGTCTTCGGTGATGCAAGTTAGTATGCATTTTAATGTCATTGATGTGTTTTCTGTCTGCTATAGTTCTTCTCATGCCTTTGCTATTTGCTCAACTCAACTGCCTGATTTTTAGTTAAATGGTGACTACTTTCGGGAGTATTTTTAAGCTTTTGGTTAATTACAAAATCAAATGCAAATGTAGATATTTTACAGCACCCCTTAAATGAAAGTGCAATTTAAGTATTTGTAATCGCCAAGGAACATAGAGTATATATTTATTTATGTCTTCAAACCACAGTTCGACGAATGATCTGACTACCGCTGCTATAACCTTTCAAGATATAATTCCAACTTAGGTTTATAATGTGAAGCAATTATGTACAAACATTCTGATTATAAAACAAAATAATAACCCATTATGTGAAACTGCTTAAAGTTTACATAAAAGCTATTTTAAGATTATCCCAAAGATAATGCGATGTCTATCTAAGTTCCTCTTCAGTAATGACAGATTTGTTATCACAAAGCGAAAGATACAGTCAATCAATCATAATTGAAATATACAACAGCCTTAATGAAATTGAAACCATTTAACCAATGATATTTGTTCTGAAATGTAAGGAAATGATTATTCAACTGTGGATGCCAAATCGTAATTCGATAATGCACATTAAAAACAGAATTTGTCTGGTGGAATGAGTTATCACTATAATTTATTCAAAGTAGATTGGCGAGTGAAACGATTTATCTATTTTACTAAAAAGAATTCGCAAGTTGATTAAACCGATTTTGATTATCAGAAAAGAGAAAAGGTGCTTAACCAAAACATGTAAAATTAAATTTATCTCAATGAGACAGTTAGGTGATAAAGCAACAATTAAAACCAAAACACTGAAGAAAACTGAATTTACTTTACATTAGCATAAGATGGTTTAGCAATTGAATAGTCGAAAATAATTTTCAAGACAACATTCTATTGAGATAAGAAATTTTATGTAATGGTTTAAGGCTTTTACGTCATTGTGATAAAATCGCTACAAGAAAAGTCCTTTGAGCGACAAAATTGATTGCAGTTCAGCAAACATCAGAAGTAATGTGTATAGCTGTTATTAAGCAAAAATCACTGTATCATGATGATGAAACTATGATGGTGAAACCTTAATGAAATTAGTATACTCTATCTGCAAGTGTGACTGAAATTGACACATGACTTTAATAACATATAAATATCTTACATTGTCATTGTTTTTCACATATGTCTGTTCATAATGTAAGTAAATCATGAAAAACGATTCGGACACGTACAATTCATATAGTGTTATTTTCATTTTCAGTGCCTCTGTATTAGTAAGATCAAATGTATACATTGCGTATTTAAACTTTTAGTTTAAAATATTATGTTAATGTGCATAAAATTAAGTTTCAAATCCCTGCTCCCCAAAAAAAAACATGTGATCTGCGCACGGAAATAATAGCATATATTTTATTTCTAAGATGAATATGTACGTAATAAAAAAAACCGACTTGCAGCATACTTTTTTCAATTTACAAAGTTTTGTTACCACCTTGAATATTTGTTGTTGCGTTTCGGGGAACACAATAGTTTGTCGCTAATGTTAAATAAACTCATCATAGAAACCAGGATTAAAATTGGGTACGCCAGACGCGTTTCGTCTACAAAAGATTTATCAGAGACGCTCGTATTAAAGGGAACCTTGAATTGCAATCAGAGATATTGAACATTGAAAACATGCTACGAAGGACGAAAACAAGGAAATTATTATTATAAATAACATTTTCTAAATATAAAAAAGGCTATCTAAAAATAAAGCGGAAGATACGAAGGGGACTTTCAACTCGCAAGTCCAAGAAAAACTGACATCGCCATTGCAACAAACGAAAAACGACGAAAGGATGAACAAGTTCACAAAACACTCCATAGAAATCTAAAGATTGAGCATCATGAACCCACCAAAAGCCGGATGTGAAATCGTGTGTTCCGGAATATCTAAATGTGCTCTTTTAACATTCAACCTTTAATTTGAAATATAGGCATCCCGTTTGTCTTTATTCTTCTCTGAAAATATAAAATGTGTTCAGTGATTATCATTCTATCAGATGATGATTTACACACAACAACATCAAACTATGACATTCGGTCTTTCTAATAC